AAAAAAAAAAAAAAAAAAAAAAAAAAAAAAAAAAAAAAAATTACCACTAGTACCATTATTTAGTCAAAGAACATGGTCCACAAGTCCAAAGTACATCTAATACTTTATGGAAAGGAAAATTATATAGTCCAGTACTTGTTATCCGGAACAATGACACAGATAATGAAGAGTTTAGCATTGCCACCAAATGATTCTCTTAGCAGATGAGTTAGACAGGAAAAAATGGAACGTCTTAAGATTTCCCATTATGACTTATTTCCGCAACGATATTTAACAAGAGCCACTCCTGATTGTAGAGCTATTAGCAAATATTATCAAAATTGTTTATTCATGTGCAACTATGAACATACTTGCAGAATTAAATTTAAGATAATTTTAGCATCACATCTTGGTTTTGGTAAAGGATCATTAAGTGCAAAAGATGGAAGGAAAAGGACAGCATCAGAAAACCATAAATGCTGAAAATAACGAGAATAAAAAAGATGCATTGGATGACTCATTAAAAATATTCATTTCACATACCCAAATTGTGACATGGACTTCTTTATGTATTTTCCCACTTGCTCTTTAGCAGCAGCATCAAGCACATTCTTTCAAATTTGACCTGGTCTACCAAGTTGATCTTGCTAGTCTTAGAAATACCAAAGCAATTTGATGAGGATTCCCGAGCGGATTCATTGCAAGAAAATGAATAAAGTACTAATTTCAAAATTTGAAAGAACAAAAGTTCACATTCTAATAGGTTTGTTGTTCATGGATATTGAGGGAAAAATATATATTAATAAATATTCACTTAGTTTTGCCTTTTATGTATCTTAAATGCCACGAATATAGAGGGAAAACTTTAGATTAAAATAAGAAAACTATGAAAAAAGTGTGTTTGTCCATATGGTTTATAATGGAAGATTGCTACACCGTATAAAATTAGATAATTTTTAGAACAAATTGAAACTATAGCCATTTGCTAATATTATCTTGCACCAGGACTCAATTGTGGATGTAACTATAATGTGGGTTCTTGAGCTCTTTGAATTTATAATTGTTACTCCAACCTTTTATACTTGACACTCCTTGCAGCATAAAGTAATTTGAAGTTATCCTGAAAAATACAGAAGATATTTGCTGAAGGATCTATTGATATGACGCATAAGATAAACACCAATGCCAGTGCAGTAAAAGCAAACTAAAATTATATAAAAAACACCAATGCCAGTGCAGTAAAAGCAAACTAAAATTATATAATTTTTACACTCCTAGGTTTACTACCTTGATCAAATTTTGGGTGACATCCTCGTAGCTAGTGACATACTATACAGTTAAATTTTGAACATAAAATCCAATTTTTTCATCATCCTTTATTTGGAACAGTTCAACATATTAGGCTAACAATAAAATATACATGAAAACTCACTGAAGCACTGTCAAGAAAACTACTGACTTACATATTTAGTTCAGATATTGCAAATCATATTAGAGAGTATAGCCACATTATTCTACTTTTTTATGTCTTGATTTATACAAGCATTCACCTTGTGCAAGTAAATCATGTTGGACATCTATGACATAGTTCTTACAGGCCCACACATATCTACCATCACTCTTTACGATGTATGCCACCGTGTCATCAAACAATCGATGCTCACAGTTAGGGGAAGCATATATGTCTTAGAGAACAGTGTGAATGGGCACATTAAGTTTCTATAGATCAAAGATATAAAAACGAACCATAATGAATGTTCTTCAAATTGCTCCTTCCACTTCTATTCATGTAACTTCTGAAATATATCCTTGAACCTGAAATAGTCAAAATATTGATTTAAATGGTATTATACATATTTCATTTTATTAATATCATAAAAATTGACCAATATTTTCCTAATCAAATTACACGCCATCATACTTCTTAAGAATTATATTCTTTGTGCTCAAGTAAAGAGGCCATTTTTTTGTAAATGCCATTGCCTCTACGATTTTGCAAATGCTTGAATAGACAGATTTTCACAAAAATCCAGATGATGAGGCTAAAGGCTATAAAAGTGCCACAAGAAAAGATTCAATATGCAGGTGAGTTGTGTAAAGAAGAACCTGATCAACATTATATATGGCAAGGGCAACAATTCTTTAAAGTCATAGACATCCAATTCCAAGGGTCCCTCCACATTTTCTAGCACTGGAATGAACAGGGAAAGAGTGAAGAAATATGTAAAAAATGGTTTGTCCAAAAGATACAGTTTTGGCAGATTTACTTACAACAATTGCAACAAAGTGAAATGACCAAAAACAATTCTAAGTTTTCCACGTCCTTTTATGATTGAATTGTGGCACCATATTGATAGCCAACGGAATGGCTGCCAATGCAAATGGGTTTATTCCAACATACAGAAAAATGATCAAAATAAATGGTGATATCATATATCATATATCTAACTTCTTATAAAAAGGGCAAAGATGCGATACTGTAGATACAACAATAAAGTAATCCAATTTCACTGTGCGTGATGTAATTTTTTATTTTTGCAATTTGTGAATGTTAGGTCTAAAAGTGTAATTGGCGACTCTGTGGACAAAACGGACTAAATTGTATAATTGTAAAAGTCAAGGACTTAATTGAATATTGGTGTAAAAACCAGAGACTTAGGGTGCAATTTATATAGACGAGGTAAATTAGTGTTCGAGTTGTTGGAGGAGCCCAAGATGTCCAAGAAGATCACACAAGATTATCGGAATGCAATTGGAAGTCTAAAGGATATCAAAGAGCTGCACAAAATATGTTCTGAATTTTCAGTCATAAATTGCAATACATTTTTCACATAGAAAACGTTGGAATTTGGACAAGGCTATTTATAGAAGAATTGTATCCTTTGAGTTAGCTTTCCAACGCAACTTGAATCACCTCAATCGGACACTGGATGAGAAAGTTATGATAAAAATACATACGACTGCTCACTGTCGCTCGCTTCTCGCTGGCATTTTGCTCGAGCGAAAAAAACAGAATACCTCTCGCTCAATTCTCGCTGGCATTCTCGCTGGCATCTCACTCGAGCAACACTCCTATGCGGGAAAAACCCTATTTCGCATTTCTGAAGTATTTTACTCGGCCCATACCACCTAGATACCTTAAAATATAAATACCTAAACCCTAGCACGAATTTTGGCAGGTTGCTACATTATTCTTTCATTGCAAAAGATATTCATAACATCTTTGAAGAGATCCAATGTACAATTAATTGGAGATTTCATCTACATCAATCTTGTGATCCGGCAACCATTGTTTTGGGTAAAAACATTGAATTTACATAACCCAAAACACCTTACTTCCTTAATCTATTGAGGAATGGACTCTCTCATTGAAGGATTGAGAGAGGTGGATTGAGGCGCAGTTACAAGCACAAGAACGGACTGTTCTTGGTGTTCCACTGGGTGATACAATCAGCTAAGGACCAGGAGGTTGTAGTGGACAGCAGATTGGGCTGCAGGAGTTAGATCAGGAAGTCTAGCAAGAGGCTAGAAGTATCTACAGCAGTAGATTGTGAGACTGGAACAGCGGGTCTGATTGGGTACGGAGTTTGGTATAACTTGTACTTGCTGAATTGGTATAGTGGAGGTAACTGGCTTGGTCTCGGAGTTTTACCCACGTTGGGATTTCTCCATCATCATATTGTTTGTTATTTACCACTTTGCATAATATACAAACTGCGACATTCTAACATAGGTTAATTGATGTGTATGATTAATCACTTAGACAACTAATTTAAGTAACTTGTTGCTTTAGTTAGATTAATTCCGCACGTAAGGTCAAATTGGTTAAAGTGAATCTAGAACGTAAACTTGGTAACGCATAAAACTTGAACTTGATTTTGTATCACGTTATTCAAATTTTCTAGCATATCTAAGCGTTCTAGGTCAAATTTTTTTTTTCCAAGTAGTATCAGAGCCTAAAATCGTGCCCTGACCTTAAATAGTCTAGATGAGTACCTCGTTGAATGTGCCGCCCCACTTTGATGGTAGTACCTATGCATACTAAAAGGTTAGAATGGGGGCATTTTTTAAATCCATGGATGAGCTTGTTTGGCAGAGCGTAGTGAGTGGTTGGTCCCCCCCTAGTACCACAGTAGATGGTGTAGTCATTCCCACCCCCGTTAAAAACTGGTCTAGAGCACAATTAGATAGTTGTAACTTTAATAGCATGGCCATACATACATTGTTTATGGCTGTGTCCTCTGAGAAATTTAGAGTATCTATGTGTGAGGTAACTAAGAATGTTTGGGACATTTTACAAATCACACATGAAGGAACTCAGGCCGTTAAAAATTCTAAGTTACAGATGCTGACCAGTAGGTTCGAGAAAATCAGGATGAGAGATAATGAGACATTTGATGTCTTTTATGCGAGCTTAAATAATATAGTGAATTCTTCCTTCAACCTAGGTGAGAAGATTCCCGAGCCCAAGATAGTTAGAAAAATTCTTAGATCCTTACCCGAGCGTTTCAGGCCGAAAGTCACAGCTATTGAGGAAATTTTATAAGGACATAGACACTATCAAGATTGAGGAGTTAGTCGGATCCCTCTAGACCTATGAGTTGACCTTAGATAATCTTGCTAAGGAAAAATCCATAGCCTTGAATTCCGCAAGGAATAACCAGATGGAATCTTCTGATTCAGATTCACCCAATGATGAGGAGATGGCCTACCTAACTAAGAAATTTCAAAAAATGTTTAGGAGTAAGAAGAAGCCTCAAGAGAGACAAAGAGGTGGCCCGAGTGAATCTAGGAAGAAATCCAAATCCGTGAGATGCCATAACTGTCGCGGTTTCGGTCATGTGATAAATGAGTGCCCTAGTGCTAAGAGATTTGAAAAGAAGGCTATGAATATTACTCTCACTGATGACGAGTCTAGCTCAGACAATCAGAGTGAGAAATCCACCTGTGAGGAGAGTGGAAAATATGTTGCCTTCGTTGTTAGGGGTAAAAGTGGATCCAACAGGGGAGTGATAGGGAAGAGGACTTAGATAGTAGTGAAGAATCTGATGATGAGAGTGGAAGTGAGCAAGATCTAAAAACAGCCTATGGTAGGATGTATGAGGAAAGCCTCAAGATCTTAGCCACTAACCAGCCAATGAGCAAGAAAGTAAAGGAGCTTAGACTAGAGAAGGAACAGTTAGAGGCCTGGGTTAGTGATCTCACCAGTAAGAATGAGATGTCCTCTAGGAGAGTAAGTGAGCTGACTATTGTGAATGAGATCTTAGCTATTCAGGTTAAACACCTTGAGAGTGAGCTAGAGTTGTCTAGGTCCCAGTTACTTGCTTTTTCTAACAGTTCTGAAAAGCTAGATAATATTCTGGGTATAGGCAAGCCGGCTGGTAATAGGAGAGGTCTAGGTTTTGATCTGAATGTTGCTAGTACATCTCAGACCACCTTTGTTCGTGCTACTAACCAGCCAAACATTGTGACTAACCCCATACCAAATATTGTGGGATCTTTAGGACGTAGGTCTACCAGACGTCGTAGGACCCGTCGGCTTAGAAATAGAAATCAGCGTAAGCATATCATAGGTCCTAGCTTTGCCCCTACATATTTTCACTGTGGGGAGTTAGGTCACATCCGCCCTAGATGTCATCAGTACCTGAACAATAGGAAAGACTTGAGCCTAAAAAGAACAAAAATCAGGTGGCTATTGGTCAGATTGGATTCCTTGCTGATCAAGTGAATCGTTTGATTCAACTGATGACACAGCTGTCTAGAAACAATCCCTGTTTTAGATAGATTTGGGTGAAGAAAAGCGATCTCCCAAATTTTGTAAGAGATTGCGGTGCTTTTAAAGGAAAGAGCACTTATATTCCTACTTGATTAGGTATTTTTGCTGCATGCTTGGCTCTTAATTGACATATAGTTGTTGCATGCATCACATGTATATTGTTTGTTTTTTGTTTTGTTGTTTTTCATGCATGTACATTTTCACCTACGAGTTTTGGTGCATGCATGTTTATTTTTGTCATTGTGTGCTTGACTTTATTTTATTTTGTGTGTAGAGCATTCATTTTAAGAAAAACGAAAAACACAAAAACATTGAAAAGTTGAAAAAGGCAAAAATAATTGGTTATGGAAATTTCTACAGCATGACACATGACTTAAACTTGCACGTTGTGATCATATAGGAGCTAAAATTGACAAACTGTAGAATAATTTTCATTACTTGGTTAGGTCTATTTTGATTAATCTATATAAGTGTCTTCATGTACCATTTGCACTGTACACACTATGAATTTGTTAGTGGGACTCTACGCATGTGTGAGATTTTGGATGGCTGTCACATGTTGATTGGGTGACTTTGAACATGAATTAACCATTTAAGATAGACCTTAACCCAAAAAGCTTCCCCTGTTGCATTAAAGCTCATATCTTAATATTCTTCTTTGGAGCCTATTTGACTCGAGCAATTAAGCGTGAGGGATCTCTTAAAACCTGGTGCCTATGGTCAACTGATTTGGGTTAATCGGCCTAAAGTTCGCTACAAGTGTCATCTTATTAGCCTAATGGAGAAGAACCTGCACTTAAGATGAAAAATCAATGAGCTGAAAAAATGAAAAACTGTGAAAATTGTGTTGAGCTTCAAAAATATGAAAATTGAAAAATTACAAAGGCCCATAGTAAGGGGGAGATAAATAAAAATAATAAGTATAGGTCCTACTACACGTTACATGGTTTGACTTTCATTAATAGGAGAGTATACTTATTAGCAGTGATTCGCATGTCCCTTCTCACAAAATTAAGGTTTAGAGTCCTGCACTCCTGCTTGCATTGGATTAGTGACATTTTACACACATGAGTCACTTATATTTTTATTATTCCATTCTGGACTGAACTAAGTATGTGGGGAGGTATACTATTTGTTGATTTTGCTTTTGCATGCTGTCAACTGCATTTTTGATAATTATGTGTTCTTGCTTGACTTGGTCTTAATGTAATTTCCCTTCAGCATTTGTGACAAAAAGGGGAGAGAAATGTGTAGCTGAGAGGGAGAAAATGAGAAAAATAATTCAAGAGCATACATATAAGAGAGCGACTGCATATGCATGCACATGATTTCTTTGATTGACATTACTTGCATTGCATTGCTATGTTTAGGTATCGTTGGGGAGAGAGATAGATACATTTATCTACTGCATCAAAACATGAAAGCTTGCGGTAAGGGGGAGCGTTGCATTGCATTTGATATCACATTTATCTGTTTGAGTTTTGATGTTTAGTGGTGTTGGTATTTCGATTGGTGTTTTGATTGGCATCAATATCACGTCTCAAACTAGCATGTTGAATTGTGATTAAGTGTTTCAATTGTTTTATTTCTTGTATCACGTGCTTTTACACTGGGTATATGTTGTTGCTTTAGTTAGATTAATTCCGCAAATAAGGTCAAATTGGTTAAAGTGAAATCTAGAACATAAACTTGGTAATGCATAAAATTTGAACTTGATTCTGTATCACGTTAGTCGAACTTTCTAGCATATCTAAGCGTTCTAGGTCAAATTTTTTTCAGTGAAGAATTTTGTTTATTGTGATTTACAAATATTCTTCCACACACGCATCATGCCATCAGTGTTAACAAAAAAAAAATTAATATATATGAATTGCATGAGACAAAAAAAAAAAAGAATCTCTCCTC